CGGCAGTCCTAAGTACTGCTCACAAGCACACCTCAGGAAGCCACTGCTCTGGGGACCTGATCCAAAGTCCACTAAGTCGGTGAGAAGGCGTCAAGAGCAGGAATTGACAGCAGGAGTAGTTGAAAGCCCTAAAAACTGCTACAATGCCTTGCCAGTCAGCACCTATGCTACTGTCATGCTCTCTTTTCCCCCCACATCCCTAATTTGTCCCTAATTTGATATGCTCTCCCTTAGATTGGTATGGGGCCAACTGCATCATAGGGAACTTGTGAAAAGACCGTGCAACTCCATGCGAAGGAGATGGTGAATGCCTAGGTGCAGGGGCTTCTCTTTTGCTGCTAGCTTGCTCAGAGGGCTGGTTCAGATGGAAACAGGCTATGCCTCACTGTTCTCTCTGGGTGCTGTATGCCACCTATGGAGTGCACTGAGGGAGAGGTCATATACAAATTTTCCCTCATGTGTTTTATATATATATATATGTAGGCACACATGCTTAATACTACAGAATAGAGACTACACAAAATGTTGGTCTTAAAAGAAATTTGGTGATAAGGAGTCACTAAAGAAAGGACTACAGCTAGTCCCCGAGTTACGGACGCATTGACTTGCTGCTGCGTGGGAGCAAGTGGCGCAAGTAACCGTTTGGGCTCCATGCTCCCAACGCCCAAACAGGCGTTTGGGTTCCGCGGTTCCCCAAGTGAGAGGCAGGAGAGGGAGAAGAAGAGAAAGAGAGAGGCAGGAGGTGGAGGAGAGCTGAGAGAGAGAGTGGGAGGCAGAAGGAAGAGGAGAGAGAGAGAGACGGAGCGAGAGACCGGAGGCTCAGGAGAGAAGACCAACATGAAGGAGAGACCTTAAATCCTGTCTTATGACAGGCTAATTGGCTAGTGCCCTAATAAGTGTGTTAGTCAATTGCATGGCTTATTTTGGTTTTTGGCACTATCTACACAGGAGGAAGTCCAAGGAAGAGCTGGTGCTATCTACACAGGAGGAAGTCCAAGGAAAAGCTCTCTTCCTCCGACTTACCTTACTCCTTGTAAAATGGGGGTTACAGAAGTCGGAGTAAGAAGTTCTCCAGCTCAACATTATTTTGACATTATGTCAAAATAACTGCTTGTATGTAGATGCAGACTATGTTGTTTTGGAATAATGTCAGTTATTCTGAAATAACACTGCTGTGTAGACATATTCTAAGAGGCATATACAAGTTACACAGCATGGATTTGAATTTCCCGGGCTTCATTTGCATTTTGCCGGGCGCCGCCATTTTTAAAGCCCCGCTAGTTCGGACTCCGTGCCCGCGGCTACACGCGGCATGGAGTAGGTAGTTCGGATTAGGCTTCCTATTCCGAACTACCGGTATACCTCATTCCACAAGGAGTAACGGTAGTTCGGAATAGGAAGCCTAATCTGAACTACCTACTCTGTGCCGCGTGTAGCCGCGGGCACAAAGTCCGAACTAGCGGGGCTTTAAAAATGGCGGCGCCCAGCAAGATGTAAATGAAGCCCGGGATATTTAAATCCCGGGCTTCATTTGCAACCGTGGTTGCCTACATTAACCACACTAGTTCAAACTAGGGTGGTAGTGTAGACATACCCTGGCTGCTTTATAATATATGGAATAGATACGGGAATATATATGGAACAGATAAGGGAATGTCCTTCTTACAGGAAAATAATGTTACCAACAAAGACAATTTCTGACTGGAGTAGAAAGCTGCAACATTCTAAAATTCTAAAACTGCTCAGTCGAAATATCTTTTTTTCTTTTTCTCTTTTTTTCTTGAGAAGAGAGGCACTCTTTATAAGATGATTAAAGAGGTGCTGGTTTGAGAAATCAGTATCCCAAGTGTCAATGATATGATGAAATAGTTTATAACCAGGCCTTCATGCATCCTTATATGCATGGATTAGAATGATAAAATAAACCTGTCAATGCTGCTTTTTAAAAATGTGTGCTTGATTATGGTAAACTACGTACTACATCTTCCTATATGTCAAACGCCTCAGATGTCCACTGCCTTCCTACCAAAACTACTCTGACAACTTCTTCAATGGAGTTATATATTACTAATACAAAATTTCTGACACACTGAAAATTCATTTTAATAACAAAATTTATAAAGCCAGAGCTCTGATGCTGATTGTTTTTGCAATTTTAATATTTAAATAATTTAAATGAAAAAATAAAAATATTTTAATGAGGTTGTCTCACAAATTCCCTGTCTGCCACACTGAAGTATTGCAAGATCCAGGGACTGCCATGGAGAATTTTGATCAAGTTTTCAGCAGAGTACACAGGGCTTTGGAAACAGATACAGCAGTATAGAAAACTGTAATACCTCATTGATAGGGCACCAGGCTGAGCATCAGGAGATGTGGGTGCTGGTCCTGACTTTACCACTGTTTTGCTTTAAAATCTAGGTCAAACCACTTGTGTCTTCCTTTCTTTATTTGTAAAATGGAAACACTGAGACATACCTTACTGATGTAAAATACTTTGATATCTATGGATAAACCAGGCATACAAGTACTAAATATTATTATTTATTCTACCTAGTGCTTGAAATTAACAAGTCAGCATTCACCAACAGTTATCATATAGCTGTATCTGAGATTAGCACAGTTTTCCCTGTACTTAGAAGATATGAGTGGTGACTGTGCAGGTGGCAGATTGTTTTCAGTGGCTTTTATCATATGAAGATTTATAAAAGGGATTCTCAACTTTGGAAGCCCCGGGGGCCACAATGATACTCACAGCACATGCCGAGGGCCAAATTTAAGTGTGATTGCATATATGTGCAAATAGATATACAAATATATGCAAATAGCTTCTTTCATAGTGATGGGCATGAATACAAAGATTGAGGCAAGACTACACAACACACAGGTCCCATTTAAATCAGTTCTGCTGATATTAATAAAATGCAATATTTACCCAATTTCCACCCCTATGACAGCATTTTTAATGAGCAATGACAGTCCAGGAATTTAACTACTAAAATGCATATCAACAGAAGACCAATATATTGACAACTTTTTTGTTTTCGTTACCACCCGCGGGCTGCATGTTAAGCTCCACATAAACCCAAACCACACCGCGGGCCACAAACAGATGGGCTGCGAGCCGCATGCAGCCCACGGGCCGCATGTTGAGTAGTCCTGAATTATAACATTCAAACACGTACTACTACTACTAATATATCAAAAAGAACATTATTTCTACAAGTAAACAATTTGAGTAATTATGTGTACCAGCTAACAACATGATTATGCCTATAGCTGGTTTCCATTCACTCCTCTTGAGAAGGATGTTAATACAGCAAGTTTCAGCATGTGTAAAATTCACGTTTTTTGTCATTGTGTGTTATGGGCAATCAATGCAAAATTCACCCACTGTGATTTCACTTTGCCTTACCAAGTGGGAACTGTGGAGTGAAAACCTAGCTTACATCAAAATAAAAAGGTACTGTATTATCTTTCTCATTTTCCCATACTCTCAGACTGTAGCCACACAAATAACATTATTCACACACACATAGATACATATATGTGTGTTGAATGTATTGTTAACCACACATTAAAATATTCATAGTAGTTTAGGTAAATCAGAGACTCCCATTAACATAAGAAGCACATCTGGATGAATGTTGTTAAAATAACAATTCGAATGAATACTGCTGAAACAGATCAAAGAGAAAAAAAGTGGTCTCTAGTTTTCAGCGTATGATGGTGTATTTTACAATATTTTGCATATAGTCATTATCAGTGTTTAACCTATAAAGTCAATTAGTCACTCACCCTTATTTCATGGGGACAGAATTTTAAAAACAGGAAAATGTGGTTGTAGAAGCATAAAAACTGCCAGGGAGATTAAATGCAGAAAACACCAAAAATACATTTAGCCCTTTTTTTTAAAGCAGATTAGATTTCAAACTGACTCTATTCCTTTATGAAAAAGTAAAATATATAGTACATCATCAAAGAATTAGTAGCTTACCAATAGTACAATATCTTCACACTACACAGATATACATACATTAATTCAACAGTATTTGTCTCTATCTTACCTGGTTCTGCCATTCTCCCCTGCACTGGATTTATTGACAGGTTTTAAGGTTTGCCTCTGCAGTTGTTACTGTGAGCGTTGGGATGCTTTAAATAGAGCAATATTTGGAATGTACTGCAGCTGCTTTGCTCACTGATGCCAATTTTCTGCTATATGCATTTAAATGTTTGAAAAGTGTTCAGAGTCTTAAAGTTTACAGCTTGCAGTTCTTGTTAATGTACAGGACTTCATTAAAGAAAGATAAATAGAGGTTAACTTTTGCCTGGAAAATGAAATGAAGTCTGAAGTTTGATTTATGGTGTGTTAGTTTAGTTTCAGTATTTCTCTGCGTAATATTCATGATCATCACTTTCTTTAGAGCAAGACTGAGATCCAGTTTGCTCTTGAAATTCCAATCCTCTTTAATTCTATTCCCTGATAAGAAAAACTATAACAAGTTATAGTTGCCTGTACATTTATGTAACTATCATTTTCTAAGCACCAACAGTAAGCATGGCACACACTGCTCAGAGAAGGACAGAAAAGTAGACATAGTTTCTAACCCACAGGCTACATCTACAGGAAGGCTTCTTGTGCAAGAACTGTTTTGCGCAAGAGTTCTTGTGCAAAAGGTCTTGCACAAAAGCGCATCCACACTGCCATGTGTTTTTGCGCAAGAGATGTGCTTTTGCGCAAGAGCATCCGTGGCAGTGTGGACGCTCTCTTGCGCAAGAAAGTTCTGATGGCCATTTTAGCCACTGGGGTTTCTTGTGCAAAAAAAACCCTGTTGCCCTTCCACACTGTCTTCTTGCACAAAAGTTCTTGCGCAAGAGGGCTTATTCCTCATGGGGAGAGGAATAACTCTTGCACAAGAAGGTCTCTGTTCCAACGCTTTACTGTAAATTTACTTGTGCAAGAACGCACATGCAGTGTAGACGCTTCGCAAGTTTTTGAGTAAGAATGTGTGGTCTTGTGCAAGAAGCCTGCAGTGTAGATATAGCCTAAGGCTGTGTCTAGACTGGCACGTTTTTCTGCAAAATCATTTGCTTTTGCGGAAAAACTTGCCAGCTGTCTACACTAGCCACTTGAACTTCCGCAAAAGCACTGACGATCTCATGTAAATTGTCAATGCTTTTGCGGAAATACTATGCTGTTCCCGTTCGGGCAAAAGTCTTTTTCCGAAAGACTTTTGCGCAAAAGGGCCAGTGTAGACAGCAGAGATTTGTTTTCCGGAAAAAAGCCCCGATCGCCATTTTGCGGAAAAGCGTCCTGCCAATCTAGATGCGCTTTTCCAAAAATGCTTTTAAAGGAAAACTTTTCCGTTAAAAGCATTTCTGGAAAATCATGCCAGTGTAGACTTAGCCTAAGAGTTTACAACCTAGAATCCTGTTTCTCTTACTCATGTGAGTAAGTACATTCAGTGGAGACACTCATATAAATAAGGCAAGAAGGATTTGACCATAAATGTAACATAAATAAGTAATTTCATAAACATGGTTACAAGTTGTAATCTCTAATAATACAAGGGAAACATAGGAATTGTTGCCAGCGATGTGTCAAAAAGATAAACTGCATGTGTTGTATGAAGGAGGAAATCCACATATAGATGATTAGGAAATGTTCCTTGTCATAACTTTTTCACTTATTCATTAAGGATCCATTTTGCGATCATTAACTAGATGAAAGCCAGCATTAAATACAGAATGTTCCACAGAAGAGTGGAGATGATATATGCAGGTACAGTTGCACATTATCAACAAACACTAAACAGGATTTTGTCTCAACTTTGCTTCAAGGTTAGGATTTTCAGCAAGATTATCCCCCCCTCGAAAAATTAATTTGATATACAATCCTATTTCTGAACTGTGCCTAAATGTCAACAAAGTGAAGATTCCCCACTTTGTTTTGAAATGTTGCAAAATGACAAAGTGCTGTTCAGAGTCATTGCCAACAGCAAGCATTAGTGAATGTCTGAGTGTTATCCAATCCAGATGTTTGCCCTGTAAATAATTTAGAAGAACTGACTGTTCTGTCCCAAAGCTCTGCCTCAGCTCTACCTACAGGTGACATCAAAATGAAATGGTGCTCACAGCATATTATGCTGATCTTCACAACATAATTATCCCTTTTCCTGTCAGCAGTTAAATAATTAACATTGTTGACCTTTAAAATGTTACCATTGTGCTTCAGCATTAGCTCCTTATCAAGAGGGATGGGGACTTTACACTTTTCTTAAAGCAGATTTTTCAAGCAGACCACAGATGCCAATATTTTTGAAGGTTTTCTTAACATTTCTTTTTAATGAAAATTTAAATATTGGAGCAAAAGACGGTATCTACCAGGGATAAACAATGACTTCATGGAGTCATTGTGAGCTGAGTCTACAGCACTCACACTTGCCTTTTAAAAGGGGGGGGAGGTGGCATAAATGAAACCTAAATGCCCAGGTTCCAGTAGTGTGATGGTTTTCCTGGCACAGGCCATGCTGAAGACAACCATATGGCAGCTTTCCAAGAACCTCTCACAAGCCCCGTTTTGGGGTTATGCTAGCTATGAAGAGCAGCCTGCCCCGACAGGAAAGACTGTCATCACTTAAAAAATAAATACCCGTAGAAAAGCTCATCATTGCATATGGAGTAAGAGCTCTTTTTCCTGTCACAGTGAATGCTCTGGGCTGCATATTGTGTAAATTTTGTATCAGTGTGCAAAATATTCTCATCTGGGATGGACAATAAAAGTGAATGACGAAGAGAGAATTGAAATGGAGTGATTTCTATTTGTATAGTCAGTGTCGTAGAAGCCACACTAGGTCACACAGTAACTGAGCTGCACTCAACTCAGGCATAACTTCACTGAAGCCCATGTAGGGGACGAGTTTAGCTTATTATGGATCTATTTTGCAACCTGCCGTCAACAATCTCTGTTTCCATGTCTGTTTACTTCAGCATGGTTTCTATGTTGATAACCACAGAAAAACAACTAAACCAAATGGCACCCAATGAAGTTCCCACCAGTGTCCACTATCAAATCTCTGACTAGTTTTCTGATTTCTCTTTTTGCCACTCTGCATTGGACATATTCATCACTGCTTTACTTTAACTTAAGGAGAAATTACATGGACATTAACAAGTGTTACTCTTGTTTTAAAGGCTAGAGCGATGTAAAGGGGACCTGACCTGGGCCCATGCTGTACTGTTTAGCTAGGTATATATTTTTTTTCAGCATTTACCTTAAACTATTCTCCACATGTGCCACCTATTAGCTTTCCCATTTTGCTTTTTCCTGAACTCAATATCAACATTCCTGACAAACAAACAAACAAACAAAAAGACTAAAAAAAACCTGGAAAAAAATATTTGAAAATATTGCTATGATGCTCCATGAAATGTGTAGTTTGGGTATCTCAAGCCCCATTCATCTCCAGGAACTGGACTCCCTGATTGGGCTATATACCCCCTGATGCATCACAATCTACCCTCTTCCCCCTTAAAAACACCTGAATGATTTACACAACAACAAAAAGAAAAGAACAAAAATACTGAGATCATCACTGAAGCGCAGCTGCTTCGGTCAATTTGTGCATTGCCTACAGTCTTGTGTTTTTAAATGTATATCAGGGGGCATGCAGACCTCTGGATGAGTGCCTTCTGACATGGAGTTTCTATTGCTGCAGGCACCATAGAGAAAGAAGGACTGATTCTCTTAATCGTCTGCATCAGTTATACACCAGCGTGTCTGGTGTCATCATTGAAGTTCCTCCGGATTTACATGAGCACAGAATCAGATTTGTAGATTCTGAAAGCTCTTGGTCAATAGAACCATGAGGCTGATTTCCTGCAGTACTCCTGGGACTTGCAGAAATATATCATCTATTTTGCAATGAAGGCTCCTCTGAACTCCTCACAGAACACAAAGGATCTGGTCCTATGACCACTGAAATGGAGTAAAAGATCTCCACTGGCTTTTACAGGCAGTAGGTCACTCTGACTGCATTTGTTCTCTCACAAATCTCATTATTATACAAATGCTACATCCTAAATTTGATTTATTTCATTAAACTATTCCTATGGCCCTATTATTCAGAGTTCTTCAGTTTATAAACAGCCATTCCTCACCCAGGTGGTCTAGCAGGAGTGTAGTAATGAGGGCTTATTAACTAAAAAACCTGGGCAGCAAGACTCACTCTCTCTTCCAAGAGGAAAATAACCTCCCAAATGGGAGATATTAATTTCTCTTCCAAAGTCTTCAGCATTACATTCCAAGATCTCTAATAATCACCTTATAAAATTACAGAATAAACAACCAGCACAACACAGTCTGTTTTACTCAGAAGTTTCTTTTTGCTGGCTTTAAAACCATTTGTTTTTCCATAGTCCTTTAAGGAGCTATTTTTCTAGCCCAGTAGGTCAAACACAGTGTTTCCTACCAGATCTTTGTTTATAATACTTTCTAAACATGCCAGGATTTAGTAAAACAACTCCCAAGCCTTTTTCCAATCTATAGTCTGAGAGGGGTAGTCACGTTAGTCTGTAACTTTAAAAACAACAAGTAGTCCTTCAGCACCTTAGAGACTAACATATATATAGCTTATGCTATTATACTACATATTTTTGTTAGTCTCTATGGATGCGTCTACACTGCCCCCTTATCTCAAAATAAGTCATGCAATTTGAGCTACACAAATTGCGCAGTTTATTTTGAGTTAATTTCGAAATGGCTTCTTTTGAAATTTGGCACCGTCTACACTAATAGAGCACTATTCTAAAATGTCCCTTAATCCCTGTGGAATGAGGCTTACAGGGACATCAGCATAGCAAGCCTGTTACATTTCAAAATAATGGGCGTGCTCAAAAGACATGGAATAGCTATTTTGGGATATTTCTGGTATCCCGAAATAGCTCCACAGTGTAGACATAGCTTATGATGCCACAGGGCTACTCCTTTTCAATCTGTAGGACATTCTAGTAAAATCTCTCAGTGAAACAATTAGAACACAAGAATATTTTCTAGGTATTGACTAAAACTTTTTCTTCAATATAAAACCAGATTTTTAACCTACAGTCTCATCCATAAACTTTCATCTAGATCTAGGCAGAAATATATGTATCTTTCCTATAATATAT